AGAAGAGAGAGAGTGTGAGGGAGAGAAATAGAGAGAGAGAGAGAGAGAGAGAGAGAGAGAGAGAGAGAGAGAGAGAGAGAGGAGAAAGAGAGAGAAAGAGAAATGGTAGAGAGAGTTAACCTTATAGGTACATGATATTCAATCTATGTTAGCTCATATTTTTTGTGTTCCTATTTTTTATTTTTGAAATTCTTCTTATTTTTAATGTAGTTATCTAAATCATATGATATATATAAACTTAGGACGAGGGGAAAATGAGAGAATGAGAGATAAATATTGAAAGAGGGATGGACACATGGATGAGGAGAGAGAAATAGTTAAAGTTTTCAAGTACATATATTTGATTGATATAAATAAATGACGGAAAATAAGAAGAATATAAAGTCGGAGAGAACGAAGAACAAAGGCGATGAAGAAGAAGAAGAAGAAGAAGAAGTAAAATAGGAAGAAGATGAGAAAAACAGAAAACAAGAAGAAGATGTGACAAAAAAAACTTAAAGAATAAGAAGTAACAAAAGAGATATAGAATGAAGAGGAGAAAGAAAAAAAATAAAAGAAAATAAAAGAAAACTAAAAAGAAAATGAAAGAAAACTAAGAAGAAAACATGAGAGAAGAATGAGAGATAAAGATAGAAGACGATGAAGAAATAAAAAAAATACAAAAAATAAAAACTAAAAGATAAAAATGAAGAAGAAGAAAAACAATTATGTAAAGACGAAAAACTCGCTTTTGTCTTAATTTAATTGATTTGTGAGTTCAATAGTAAATATATTTTTTTGTTAATTTTAGATGGTGTTTCCTTTTTGGATTTTTTTTTATTTTATTATGTATATATTAAATAATTGTTTTTAATTTTTTTTTAGTTTTAGTTTACAACAATGATTTCTGGATAGAAGTATGCGTGATATACTAAAAAATGATGACGTTTTTGGTGGAAAAGTCATTGTATTCAGAGGAGATTTCAGGCAAATATTGCCTGTTATTATAGGAGGTAATAGCACCCAAACTCTTATGCCTACCATAAATTCTTCTACTTTATGGGACAGTTGTACAGTTTTAGAACTAACCAAGAATATGAGGCTTCAAAATGGTGCTGGAGGTGATCGCGTTAATGAGCTAGAGGCCTTTTCAAGTGGATTTTAGATGTAGGAGACGGCAAATTATTTCGACTGACAACGATGAAGCTGAGATTAAAATCCCTAACGATTTACTGATAAAAAAATGTGTTGATCCTGTTAAAGAGATAGTAAGAGAAGTGTATGGTGATTCATACAGATCGGAAAAGAGATCCAAAATTTTTTTAAGACAGAGCAATTCTTAGCCCGAGAAATGCAGACGTGGGATTAATAAACGAATACATGTTGTCAGAAATAAAAGGTAAACATATTTAACGCTTTATACATTTGATCTTACACATTAGCTTCATAATGCGATCAATTGAACTTCGTAAAAACATTTTTTTAGCTGAGGAACATACATATTTAAGCTCGGACAGCATCAATACTTCTGATAAGGGCAACATTGACGAGAAAGTTTACACACAGGAATATCTTAATAGTATTAAGATTGCAAGATTGCCAAACCATGAATTGAAATTGAAAATAGGGACACCTATTATGTTACTTCAGAATATTGACCATAGAGGTGATTTATGCAATGGAACAAGACTCTTGGTAACACAGTTGGCCAAACATGTTATTCAAACTACCCACATAACTGGAGAATATATTGGTCAAAAGGTCTTGATCCCACAAATGTTTGTTTCCCCCACAGAGACAAGATTTCTTTTTAGAATGAGGCGTAGATAATTTCTGGTAGCTATCGCCTATGCAATGACTATCAATAAAAGTCAATGACAGACTTTGCAAAAGGTTGGCCTGTATTTACCAAAACCAGTATTTTTCTATGGACAACTTTATGTGGCTATATCACGTGTTATTTCAAAAGCTGGTTTGAAGATTCTGATAACGGATACAATGGGTCAGCCACAAACCAAGACTTTTGATCGTTGTATACAAAGCCGTTTTTCATAATGTAAGGAAACAATAGTTTTTTTTTAAGGTTTAGAATTTTACTATTTAAACAGTTTATTTAATTATTTATTAAATGATATTTTAGTTTACTTATCCTTTTCTTTAATGATTGTCTTCATTGTCGAGAATCAAACATAAAACAAATAGAATACAAAACAATAATGGTGTTTGCAGAATTAATGAATTTAAAAAAAAATATAATTATCCAACTAATTAATTTGATGACTATGAATGTTTTTCCAAAATTAAAAATTTTTATAATACATTAGTGTTTTGATATTATAAAAAAAAATTAAGTACTCATCTGCACATCGTACGGGTCCCCACCTAGTTAGAAATATTCATCAAGGTATTGACTTGGTTTTTGATAACGGACCTGAGAACTCTACCGACAAGCTTTAATGTAATAAAACCAAGTCGGTTCAATTAGACAAACCGATTTGCGCAATTTCAACTATCCCGTAAGAAAGAAAAAAAAGAATTTTTCTCATGTTCGAATTTCGAAGAAGAAGAAGAATATTGTAGGGGAATTGGATGAAGTTTTTTGCTCTTTGAGTCAATCACACATCTCTGGAGCAAGCCCATCTCTCAAAGTTTCTCCTTTTTAGTCTCACTTTCAAGCCGAACTATCTAAACGGGAAGAATCTTCAATTTCTTCATACGTTTATCTTTCTCAGCTATGGATTTCTGGGTTCGACTTCAGTAAGCTTCTCCAGCCATGGATTTCGTCAGGTTTTTGTTTCTCTTCTACCTGTCTTTTTAATCAGCTACTGTTTTCGTGAGTTTTGGCAGCTAATTCCAGTTCCATAGGAAGGGTTTTTGGTTTAAAGTTGGGATATTTTTCAATTGATTGGGAACCTTGTTGATAAAATTAGGGGTTTTTGGAGGAAGCATAGAAGGAAGGTTTTCGTGACGGCTGGTTGTTTGGGAAGTGGGTATTTGCTCTACAAGCTATACAATTCGCATACTCGTAGGCTTGCCGATTTGGAGCGAGAACTCGCTAACGAGCGTGAAAATGACGAACTTATCAAAACCCAGTTAAGCTTTGAACTATTAAAAACCTGAACTTTTTTTTTCTTTTCCGGATTCCATTCTCTTACTCATCTTTATCCTGTTGACACTCTTGCTTAGAATGAAAGCCCATTTCGAGAATATTCAGATGATCGTGGACTCGACCACACTGCCTCACGCGATGCAGTATTTGAGTATCCGCATAGACGAGGAGATTGGTGTCTCTGATGTTATGGAGACTCTGAACAGTGGGAGAGGAATGTTGACTCCGTCTGAGAAGCTTCAGCTTTGGGACGAGCTCAAGATTTTGAGTATGCACTTTCATACGAACATTTTTGTCTTACCTGTATTGAGTGAGCACATCAAATGTTATTTGATCGTTTTCGTTTTCCAGGTTTCACGAGGATGGTTTTGTCTCTGTGGTCCGTTACAATGCTTAGCTTGTACATTAGGGTTCAAGTCAACATTTTAGGCAGACATTTATATGTTGACACCGCACGAGCTCTCGGAAGCTCCCATTTACTTGTAAGATAATATGCTTCCCCTGTTTTCCATCTGAGAAATTTTCTGTTTATTAATCGATATTGCACACGTTCTTTCCTGCACCCATTAGTATGTATGTATGATTCAGTATGCCTTACTCTTCTCATCACCAACAGGCTATGCTTTCAGGGAAACGCATTGGTCGTGTTGTTAAGAACTTTTATAATTATGTTTCTAGTAGCTGTTTGATTGCGATGATAGATTATGCTATTGAGATTTATGGTTGATTTGGATTTTATTTAAGAAGTGTTATACTCTGATTAGTCTTGATATAGTTTTGGTCACCTTTTTAAGGAACTGCTGCTTGTCCTGTGATCTTTCTGACAGTTTTTTTTATGTTAAAGCTTGTCCTGTGATCTTTCTGACAGTTTTTTTTATGTTAAATTTTTGTTTTGCAGGAAGAGTTAGATTTCATTGATAGGAATGATGAACAGAAGTTCTTGTCAAGTGCTGATATTCTCGTGACCAGTGCCATGCCCGGTTTGATTTCAGATATGCAAAATGCAGTCAGGGAAGTTGTTAAAGGGTATGTATATCTAGATCGTTACAGTTTTATTATTATTTGGAAAGTAGCTAATATGGTTTGTGTGTTTAATTGCAGGAAGCAGTTAAAGGATGTAATTACCACGAGAGTTCTTGAAGAAACCGTGATACGGATTATGGATGTGTTCATGAGCACTGGAAGTCCACATCACTGGGTTGATTATTTAATGATGCCTCAAGACACAAATCTTTCACGAAACACAAGTGGGTCTTCTGATGAAACTGTAACCAAGTTTCATCAACTTATGGTTGAAACCCGAGAAGTACTCACCAGGTAAAGAATCTATCTCTCTCTGGTAACAATAAATAATTTCTTCTTTATTAGTCTCATGTAGAATAAACGTATCTCTTGGTCTCTCTCTTGTTGCAGCACTGAATTCACAGATATAGTGGAAATTTCGCTCAAGTGTTTCACGGATGCGTTGGTCGAGGAAATGGAAACGCAGACTCTGTCTGGGGCTGGTTTGGCTACAGGGATGCCATTGGCAAAGGTCTTACCACAGATTGAGAAGACAATACATGTCATTACAGCTGAACCGAGCAAGAACCGGTTCTTACAACTCATCAGAGATCTGTCTGAAGTTCAACTCTTTTTCACTCTTTTATACGCTAATATGCCGCAATAGCTACTTTTGTTTCTTCTCTTAGCGGTTCCCAATCGCACGTTGCAAAGTGTTTGCGTTTTTTTTTTTTTTTTTTTTTTTTCCTTTGGGGGTCCTAATTAGCTTCAAAGAAATGCAGGATTTTCTTTTGAGCTTCTAGAATATTAGAATCAAAGTTATTTAGAAAAAAAAAAAATCATCCTTTTTATTATTAGTATCGAAGTTTACATAAAAACCGGTTGGTTAGTGGTCGTTTATGGTATAGTATGAAATATACCATGAAACTTCCATACTACCATTAAACAAAAAAATAGATAAAAAAACCAAAGAAATTATCAACTTCTTACATCTTCGAAGTGACAAGTGACAACTAAAGTTTGACTTAACCAGTCAGTTCCATAAACCAAGATTCAAAATTGTCATCGCTCATCTCCAACGTTGATTGATCTTTCAAGACCGACCCTTGAGCTTCTGGAACCATCGATGCAGCTTCTTGTCGTCTTCTAGTAGGAGGACCAATCGGAGTTGGCAATGAAACACATCCTCTTCTTTGTTTAAATAAAGGGCGTGTTAAGTATTGTTTTCTTTCAGGAGGAGGAGGTTGGATTGGCCGTGGAAGAGAGACTCTTTGTCTAATAAAAGCATGGTCCAAGAGCTCGGTCACAGTAGCCCTATTAAACGAATACCAAGTATGGCACCGCCTCAAGAAGTCTATAGCCACCGGAGATATATCTTGGTACAGCCTCCACACGTAACAACCGTCTTCCTTCATTATTGGCTTACCTCCAAACATCTCAAAAACAATACACCCTAGAGACCATATATCAAAGGCCGGTCCGATCACACGGTTTGTATCCTGGACAGATTCTGGCGGCATGTAGGGCTTCGTACCACCATACAATAACTTGGAATCTGTATAAGGCTCCTTGGATAAACCGAAATCAGCAAGCTTAACATTCCACGGGTCTCCAAGAGATGTGGAAGGGAAGAGGAGTATATTCGCTGGCTTGAGGTCGCAGTGAACATAGCCGTGTGAATGAAGAGCCTCGAGTCCTTGTAATATCATGCGAGTGGTGCGTCCAATCACATTCTCAGGCAATGGTTTCCCACGGAAAGCAGAGATTATCTCGTGTAGAGTACCTTCAGAAGCATACTCCATGTAGATGTAGCAATCTTTGAGGAACATGCCTAAGTGAACACGATCGCTTAAGGCTTGAACGATGCGAGGATGATTGCGGAAGTGAAGCATGATCCTGAGCTCTTTCTTGAGATTCTCCTTGTGTTCTATTAAGGATGTCTTCTTCGCGTAAAATCGGTAGCCAGGATGGATTTTGAGAGAGACGGAGCCGTAGGAACCTTGGCCAAGTTCACGGACAGCCTTCAGTGAAATTTCGTCTACATACAAAGGCTCTTCGTACTTAATATCCATAGCGTTTATCACTCTTAGCTCTCGTTGGCTCTTGAAGGCTTCGTTTGTATAAATCGAGATTGCTTTTAAAACTTATATTTATAGCTATTAATTGGTCGGTGGTTTCACACTCCTTTTTCACATAGGATTGTCAGATTTCAGGGTTTTAGTTTAGATAATGATCTTATTATATACAATTTAAATATTAAAACTAATCGTATATATTTAATTTGGAATTCCTTGTTGATAATATCTAATCTACTTTATGATGCTGCATTTCATTGCTAATTGAGTAATTTCCAATCTGATTTTAAGAGAAAACAATTTAACTTGGAGTTATTTCCTTTTCTATTATTATCTGAATGTTCCACAATTTTAACCAACACGATGCGAAAAAGTTAAATGTAATAATTTTTTTTATGTAATAAATGTAATAAAAAATTGTTATTTCCTTTTCTGTTACACGGACGATATGCTTTGAGGAACATTAGGGTTTTACTAGGCTTCTTATCTACATTGCACAGAATCGCTTGGAAAGTTACGATTCCCGTTTCAGAATCGGAATCAGAATCAAACGGAATCGATCGAAATCGTTACGGAATCGCGATTCCAAAATTTTATCGTTTGGAAACGCTGAGAAATCGTTCGATTCTGAGTTGGAATCGTGTTCTTTGTGGTTGGAACCGTTAGCAAACTTCGACTTAAATTATAGAATATAGAAGAAGAAAATGACCTGTAATTACAATTTTGTTAGACTTAATATATTTCAAGCCCACTAAACCATCATTATCGTTTTTTATTTATTTTTTATATTATTTAATTAAACTAATTATTTGTTTAATATATTTCAAGCCTATTAAGCCCATTAAGCCATACGCTTCCAACACGTATCCGCTTCTTAAGTTTTTTTGAAAAAATCACTTCCTTGCTTCCAAACGCTTCCGCTTCCGCAATTCCGTTTCCGATTCTATGCAGCTTAGCTTCTTACTTCTTAGATTTCAATTTTAAACCTCTGATCTTTAAATTCACTGACTACCCGAATTTGTAGCAATTTATATAATGTACATTAATCTTAACTTATTTGATATTAAAGCTTGAAGACGTGTTCATGATTTGTTTTCAGTACTTATTTTCCTTTCAAAGAAAATTTCTACAAATAAATATATTATCACTAACATTAACTAAATGATATGAACTACGTAACATACAAACAAAGTAAAGGATAAAACAATACATACATGCCAAAACATATTTTTGTGTTGAAGGAGAAAAGAAAAAGACGGAAGAATCATTTAAGTACATCTAAACGGATGTTCGAAAAAAGAAAAAGTATGTTCTAAACCTATATACGTAATTTTCTAAAAAAACCAACATACAATTGGTTAGTTACCATATATGGGAGTCCATTCTCGTTTTCCTTGTTGACGATTTACATACAAGCTAATAAGCTATTGTTGTTTATCTATTTGGTCGAAGAGAAACGAAAGAAGTCATGTAGACATCCTTACTCATCCTCCTCAACTCACCAGGTGCATAGACAAACAAATCCACAACAGATTGTCGTCGATTTGAGACATGGGAGATGCTAGATAGGACAAAAGAATGGAGTTTTGGTTTGCTACTCAGATGAAAATTTTATACACCCTCTTCTAGTTTAAATCAGCTATAGAATACTTTAATAGCTTGATGTATTCTTTGTAAAAAATATTTTTTTTGTTTGAATAAAAATTTATATTTAGTTCAAAAAAATAATAACAAACATTATTTAGGCTAAATTAGAATACTATCAATATAAACGACCACTAACAAGCTAAAGCATCAACCTTTTACTATCACTTAGCTAGACACTACAGGAATCAAATCGTTTTCTTTTGTTGATTTATAATTGAATTTGGTCTAAATATCATTTGATAATTGAGTTTAGTATGTTAAACACATGGTGTGTGAAAAAGTGAGTGTGAAAAGGTGTGTGTGAAAGGGTGTATTTTAGAAATGTGTCTATTAAATAAAACTGTAAAAGTAGTTATTTATATTAAGAGTCATAAGTGAAGAGTTACAACTCTTGTTGTTTGTTTTGTTTCACAGACTCTGTTTCATGTCTATGTAAAGACATTATCCTTGTATTAACAAACACAGTTTTTGATTAATAAAGTTTCTGTTTGTGTTCTTCTTTGTTTACTCCAAAGAGTTCTATTTCTTTTAATCCGTTTTAACAAAAATTCTAACATGGTATCAGAGCTCTACTGATCCAAGGGCCAATTCAAGTAAATAAAAAAGGGGTTCAAGCAAAAAAAAAAAAACGATGGAGATGACATCTCATCAAATAATTTTGATATTTGATGGAGAAAATTACGATTTCTGGAGAATCAAAATGAAGACAATTCTGAAGACAAGGAAATTGTGGGAAGTAGTGGAGAATTGTGTTCCAACAGAATCAGGGAATGATGATTCAAGAGAGCGAAGACAAACCGCGGAAGAAACATCATTAAAGGATTTGATGGCGCTGCAAATTCTGCAAACTGCCGTAACAGATCATATATTCTCCCACATAGAACAAGCACAAACATCAAAGAAGGCTTGAGATTCTCTGCAAACTGAATTTGAAGGAACTCCTCAAGTTTGATTAATCAAACTTCAGTCGCTGAGAAGAGAGTATGAAAATCTGAAGACGAATGACGGTGATAGTATCAAGGTTTTCACGGGAAAATTAATTGATTTGGGAAATCAATTGAGAGTCCATGGAGAAATCAATTGAGAGTCCATGGAGAAGAAAAAACATATTATCAAATCCTTAAAAAAATACTCATCTATCTTCTTGTAAATTGTGATAGTATTGTTGCCGTGATGGAGCAAACAAAAGATTTGCAAACTTTGGCCGTGTCAGAGTTGATTGGTACTCTTCAAGCCCATGAAATTCGTGTTGCTTCACGATATGAGAGTTCGACTGAAGGAGCGTTCTATGTAGAAAAGAAACGTGAAGACAAGAAGGCTGAGAAATGGTGTGGTGTTTGCAAATGAAACAATCACAATGAAAGTGAATGTTGGTTCAAGCAAAAGAAGAACCAAGGTGTCTCTTCACAAAATGTTGTAAACAATGAGGTGTTTTTTTGTGTAACAAACCAGGACATCTTGCAAAGAACTGCAAACTTAGAAAGACCGAAAGTGCAGATCTAAGTATTGAAGAAACAGAAGATGACTCTAAAGATGAAGGTCACATGTTGTTTAGTGCAGTTGAAGAAGAAACATCATCAAAAATAGATGATGAAACATGGTTAGTTGACAGCAGATGCACTAACCATATGACCAAGGAAGTTGAATACTTCATCACTCTTGATCAAAGTATAAAGGTTTCGATCAAAGTTGGGAATGGTCAACGTGTAATGATAGCAGGAAAAGGAAATATCCAAGTGATGATAAGCCAAGGAGAGAAGATCATCAAAGAGGTGTTTCTAGTGCCGGGTTTAGCAAGAAATCTATTGAGTGTATCTTAAATGATATCAAAAGGATACAAAGTCTTATTTGAAGACAATAGATGCTTCATTAACGATCCTCAAGGGAGATTCTGAACATTAAGATGAAGCATAAGAGTTTTCTACTCAGATAGAGTAACGTAGACGCAAGTGCCTTACTTGCGAGTGAAGAAGCCGCAGTTTCACAGGGAAAGATGGAGCAAACGGTTGATATGATTGACTTGAATGTTGATCCATTGGAGAACTAAGGAGGAAGCTTGGAGTAAGACCAAAACTCAATTAAGGAGAAGTGTTTATTTATAAATGAGTTTGGTCTAAATATCATTTGATAATTGATTTAGGTATATTAAGTCAAATGGTGTGTGTGAAAAGGTATGTGTGAAAAGGTGTGTATGAAATGGTGTGTTTTAGAGATGTGTTTATTAAGTAAAAGTAGTTATTTATATTAAGAGTCATAAGTGAAGAGTTACAACTCTTGTTGTTTATGTTATTTCACAGACTCTGTTTCATGTCTATATAAAAGACAATATCCTAGTATTAACAAACACAGTTTTTGATTAATAAAGTTTCAGTTTGTGTTCTTCTTTGTTTACTCTAAAGAGTTCTATCTCTTTTACTTGGTTTTAACAAAAAGTCTAATACCTTTTACTCATGAACGTCCAAAATTAATTAGCAGCCTTTTGGAGTTTCAACATTTTTAAGCTGCCAATATACAAGAAAAATATAAGTTCTAACCCCATCTTTCGGAAAAAGGCCAAGTATCATATGTCAGATATTTTTTTCAATTTGGTTATTGTCGCTGTTGTAGTAGAAGAAGAAGAAGAAGACTGCGCTGAAGATGGTTCTTGTCGCCGGCGTCTCTGCGACACGAAGATACGGTCCCATCAGCTCTGAATCTTCCACCGTCGCAGCTTCCTCGCTTTCCATGTAGCAGCTTCCCTCTTTTCGCAACTATCCTCTTTTTCCAGCTTTCTCCTTCCTTCTCCCTTTTTATCTCTTCACAGCTTTCCTCTTTTTCGCAGATCCACACAGATATTAGTGCTGGAGATCTCAGAAATATTTGGCATGACTCTTAAGCAGCATTCTCGCCGCATCGCGCACAACCGTAGTGGACAGACGTTGTTTCGATGGAATGGTGGTGTTGTGGAGGTTGTCGGCGGCGTAAATTTTTCTATAAAAACTGTAACCCTAATTTTTTTTTCAGGTACGTTTGGTAGATATATTTGGAAATCGATATTGTATTTTTTTGGTTGTAAAGTTCATAATGTGTGATGGTAGATTTATTTGAAAAATGATATGTATTTTGGTAGATTGTTAGTTATTTGATGGTAGATATATTTAGAAAACGAAATGTGGTTTAGTAGATTTATTAGTTATTTGATAGTAAAATTATTTTAAAAAACGATGTCGTTTGGTAGATTTATTAATCATCTAATGATAGACTTATTTGTAAAACGATGTGGTTTGATAGATTTATTAGTCATTTAATTGTAACTTATTTGAAAAATAATGTGTTTGGTAGATTTATTAGTTATTGATGGTAGATTTATCAGTAGTATATATTTGAATTTTATATACGAATGACAGTATTTGTTTATTTTTTCTGACAGATTATGGGCTTGGTGAACAAATCTTTGATGGGGTATCTAGCATCGATCCGACATGTTTTACTATGAATTGTAGATTTACATTTGGTAGATTTGTTTTGAAATAATGGTAGATTTATTATTAAATTGATGGTATATCTATATTTGAATTTGTAAAAATGATAATTAGATTTTAAATGATAATATTTTTGTTTTCAAATTATATTTGTCGTAAAACATTGACCTAGACATTTCACATTTTTATCATATTTGCTAGTATTGTTATTATTCAATTTAATTTATTTCTTTACTTTCACTATGATGTATATCATAACTGAATAAAATTTTAATCAAAACAAATGACTAAAATCATTTGACATTGTGATGTTGTAAAAGTTTATGTAAATAGAGTTAAATGTAACAAATATTCAAAAATAAAAATCAAAAGATCATAAGTTAAGAGATGGTTATTACAGATATGACATATATGTTCAAAGTTAATATGAAAAGCAAAATTATCTTAGAAAAAAGATATATCATAGAAAAAATATTCATGTTAGAAATTTTTGACCATTGATTATGGCATTTATATCGTAAAGACCAATAATCATCTGTGATCGAATCACAGTTAACCAACATAATATTAGCAAACTCATGCAAAGAAAACGTCAACGGTAACAAAACAAAGTCAAATATAACCATGGAACAAGTCTACCATATGTACGAAACATGTTTAACATACGACACTCCAAAACAAGTCTACCACACCTCTGGTTTTTTCGTAGATTCAAGAATACATTTAGGACAAAAAAGTAATTTCAATCCAAAAAGTCAATGTCTGCCAAACATTAACAACTAAGTCTACCTCAAGCATGAAAAATAATTCTACCATAGAAACAAGTATACCATAAGCACCTCATATGTCTACCCGATCGAGGTTATCTTTGTAAATACCAAACTTAATTAATCTACCACATGATTATTATAAGAAGTCTACCATACGTACAATAAATCTACCAGATTACATAAACTCTACCAAACTAACAAACAAATCTACCAACATTCTGTAATTCTACTTCATGTAACAAATAATCTACCACTTACCGGAATGAATTTTATTTGAATTTAAATCTACCACAAAACAAACATATCTACCACAAAAAAAATAAATCTACCAACATTCTGTAAGTCTACCTCATGTAACAAATAATCTACCACTCATCGGAAGGAATTTTACTTGAATTTAAATCTACCACAAAACAAACATATCTACCACAAAAGCAAAAAATCTACCAACTAGATATAACTCTACCATAAAACAGATATATCTACCGTCACGTATTGACAACTTTTTTCACATAAATCTACTGCCGAAGAACATAAGGCTACCAACTCAGAATTAAATATGCCTCATTGTCAATAAATCTACCGACAAAGTCAACTATGCGAGAAAGTCAACGCTTTCTTTAACAAGTCTACCAACACGTTTGACAAGACTGCCATTCATAACAACAAATCTATCGAAACATAATAAATCTATATATCATCGTCAAAACTCTACCAATATAAGTCTACCAACATTTGTAAAGTCTACCAACATTTGTAAACTCTACCAACTCTCGAATAAATCTACCATCGACCTAATAACTTTACCGACAAAATTTTTGCATTGACCAAAATTTGATAAGTCTAGACTTATCAAAATTTCAGCGCTATATTCTGCCTATGTGGCATTAAAAAAATAATGACATTTTTGTAATTAGGTTTTTTTCAACAAAGGCGTAAAAGATGTTTTGGGTATGCTACGTTAGTTTTGTAAAAAATTAAAAGTACGCCAAATAATTAAGCTATATGGATATTTTCTAAAGTTATTACAGTAATCCTCTCTTCTATATTTGATAATGCAAATAATGGAAAATTTTATTTAGGACCATTTCTCAGTGCTACATAATGAAAGAATAGCTTATAACAAAAGTTATGGACATATGATAGTAAAAAATTCTAAGGAAACCGTAAAATACACTATCATGTAAATAAAAACTTGCCAGATAATGGGATGAAACTAAAGCTTAACTTACCTGTTCAAGCCTTTCCAATATTCTAAGGCACATATGGCACCCTGATGATAACGCACGTATTAAAACATAGACGAATAATAAATTCTACATCTTGCAGGAAATGAGAAATCTGGTTAACCCAGATACATGATTCCTAAAGAAACATATATACCTCAAGCTTGATAGAAAACAATTAAAAGCAACTTACATTTTTAAACATTTAATATGTAACATTTAAAGTGTCCACGATCCCTCCATTGCGCCTTGGAACATGCACACAAGTCAACTGAAATAAGGTTGACTTTTCCAGTCTACAAGATTTTATACACATATTCGTAATTTATGAGATTAACGGAGAACCAAATTGTCAGAATTATCGCAGGTTTTCGGGAAAAATGTACATTCAGATGACTGACGGAGCTCCTCCGCCACCGGAGCAAAGTTCGTTTGACCACCGGGTGAGATCATCCTTTCATTCTCAACCCCTCTTTAATCCAATCTTCCTTTAAAACGAACATTAATTAATTCGATTTCTCTTTTTTTTTTTGTTTATATATGTGTATTAGATTGAAGAGCTTGAGAGACAGAAAGAGATCGACGATTGGCTTCCGATCACTTCATCGAGAAACGCGAAATGGTGGTACTCCACGTTTCACAACGTGACCGCCATGGTTGGAGCCGGCGTCCTTGCCCTCCCTTACTCCATGGCCCAGCTCGGATGGTACGCAAATTAGATTCTTTAGAAATCTTAATATCTGCGTATTATATATATATATATGTTAAATTGTTTTTCATCAAATATTTTGAAAGTTTTTCATCAAATATTTGTTAAAACATGTAAATATATGGAAATCAAACCAAATTTTTTGAATTTTTACATGATTTTGTTATATAATGTTAGGGGTCCAGGTGTAACAGTACTCTTACTATCATGGATCATAACACTCTACACGTTATGGCAAATGGTGGAGATGCATGAGATGGTTCCTGGGAAACGCTTTGACCGCTACCATGAACTTGGCCAGTTCGCGTTCGGCGAACGTCTTGGTCTCTATATCATCGTCCCTCAGCAAATCGTTGTCGAAGTAAGGAGTCTCTCAATTTTGACACTACACAATTATTTAATCGTGAATATATATCCAATCATTTTTGTACATACGTCTTATTGATATGGGTTACTATCTTAACAAATCAAGGTAGGAGTATGCATAGTTTATATGGTGACCGGAGGACAATCGTTGAAGAATTTTCATGAACTCGTCTGTCAAGATTGCTCACCAATCAGACTTACTTTCTTCATAATGATATTCGCTTCCTCTCATTTCGTTTTGTCTCATCTCCCAAACTTGAATTCCATCTCCCTTGTCTCTCTTGTTGCCGCCGTCATGTCTCTTAGGTATACACTTATCATCATCTTATATACGCGTAAAGATTTTAAGTTTATGGTGATTACCAATGTATCAAATGAATAGTATTACAGTGTGTCAAGATTGCTCACCAATGTATCAAATGAATAGTATTACGCGTAAAGATTTTAAGTTTATGGTGATTACCAATGTATCAAATGAATAGTATTACAGTGTGCATGATTTTGTTTTTTTAAAGTGGAAACTTGATTTATATTATGAATAGAAAAAAAGTAATGGAATCATGCTTGTCATGTTTTAGTTATTCGACAATCGCTTGGACCGCTACAGCTGCAAAGGGCGTTCAAGAAGACGTTCAGTACGGCTATAAAGGGAGCACAATCGCGGCCACGGTCTTAAACTTTTTCACAGGACTTGGGGGAATTGCATTTTCTTATGCAGGTCACAATGTGGTGCTTGAGATCCAAGCAACGATACCTTCTACTCCAAGTAACCCTTCTAAAGGTCCTATGTGGAAAGGAGTCGTGGTGGCTTACGTGGTCGTGGCCTTGTGTTACTTCCCCCTTGCTTTGGTTGGCTACGGCGTTTTCGGAAATGATGTCTCGGATAACGTTTTGATATCGCTCAAGACTCCTGTTTGGGCCATCGCACTCGCTAACTTGTTTGTGGTTATGCATGTTATTGGCAGTTATCAGGTCAGTCCAATAAGTTTAACATGGGTTTTAAACAACAAAAAGTACAATAAAACCTGAAATTTTCACTGATCAATAAAACCTGAAATTTTCACTGATCAATAAAACCTGAAATTTTGTTGGTTTCTGAATATTGAGACGAAGTACAATTTTTGGTAATCCTTTACAATGTTAGTCTAGTTTTCAGTAAATGAGACACATCCCAAAAATATGGATTTTAAATAAAAGAAATTAAATTGCAGATATTCGCAATGCCCGTTTTCGATATGGTGGAGACATTTTTGGTTAAGAAACTGAATTTCAAACCCTCTTCCATTCTTCGTTTCGTCGTACGGAATGTGTATGTTGGTAAGTACGCTAAGCTCTATAGTCTGATTTTTTTTTTTTGTCGACACTCTATAGTCTTGATTATCTCTTACTATCCTAAAAATTATCTAAATAAAAAAGGCTAACCAATACTCTTTCAGTTTTATGAATATCGAAGCTCTAGGCTTTGTCATGAATAATCAATAAACTTATATTTCTAATTGCATGTACAACATTTAAAATTATAATTGAATAAGAAGGCTTTAGATAATTTATGGATATTATTTTTCTGTTTTGTGAAATGTGATGATAGCTTTAACGATGTTCATCGCAATAATGGTACCATTCTTTGGCGGCCTTCTCGCTTTTTTTGGAGGATTCGCATTTGCTCCAACAACTTATTTTGTAAGTGTATATATTAGTTATATTAAATCTCTTTGAATTTTAGTAGTTGAAATTTTCTTTTATAAACAAATGATTTGTTCTGCACCCCGCAGCTTCCTTGCATAATGTGGCTGATAATCTATAAACCAAAGAGGTTTAGCTTATCGTGGTGGACGAATTGGGTAATGTCTCCTTTTGTTCTGTCCAAATTGGTTAAATTTTAGAAATAAAATTATTTCAAATTTTATCCTCAACCTCAACTTTTAATGCTTACTAATGCGGTTGTTATAATTTAACTAAATCGCTCACTAAATAAATTTTTTTTTTTGATAAAGTCTGTTTATGTTTCAAAATTCAAAGAATTTCCTTATAGTTAATGATAGATCTTGACACTGAAGTAATGTTTTCAAAATTTATTAATTTTTATATTATATAGTCGATAAGCGTTTTGGTCCTTTTGGAGTCAGTGTAATTAAGCAAAATACTTTTTTATTCTTCTCCCAAAACTACAAAAGATGTAATGATGTCAAAAAAAAAAAAAAAACTACAAAAGATGTAACAATGAGTTTGGATACGCGTATGTAACAGGTATGCATAGTACTTGGAGTTATTTTGATGATCCTATCATCACTAGGAGGATTAAGGCAAATCATCATTCAATCCAAAGATTACAGTTTCTTCTCTTGATTAATTTTCCCTACTTCACATTCTAAATAAAGCTGAGGCATAACTGGTTCATTTTTTGTGTTACCAATATCTCAGTCTTAAATTCTCGCTAACATTTTCAATTATCATGTTTAGTCCATTTTTCTCTGGCGACAAGATTCAAAATTCTTAAAGCTCTCTAAAAGTTAATATACTGATAATTTTAAACAAATGGAGTATATTAAATTAAATGATTGAATAATTAGGTGACTAAAAATGATTTATTAAACTTACAAAACAATTTCTATTTTCTTAAATGACTTCTTATATAATAATATAGAGACGTGTACAACATATATGTCAATGATTGAATCGCGGAATATGTGAAAATGTTGCATATAATGGCATTGAGCTTGGCTCCCGCCTCCCACAAGCAATCAGAGCAGCTAAGTCCTTCTATATGGAGGATGCGTTTGTATATTGTGATAAAAAAAACATTTTGTCTACTAATAAATATATGTCAGTTGTATGGGGTGGGGGTGGGGGAAGCGAAGCTCCCACGGTATGATATTTTTATTAGGTTTAGGAAAAGTTTTGTTTGTTAATCATATTGAAATCAGGTTTTGAGGCATTATAAATACGAGTCCTTCAGATTTTGTAGTAATTGTTCACATTCACATAATAATAAAGATATTTTTTTAAAAGGTTTTTTGTCACATTTTTCAATACGCTTTTCTCTATTGTTTTCGAATTTCTTCTAATTTCAATTCTCTCTAATGCTTAACTGAATTATATATCAGATATTGATGAATATAACGATATATTGTCTATATAATATTAAAATAATTTGACAAAAATATAGCTATGATTGTATATATAGCGGTAATCAATTCAAGACAAGACATAAATTCGTCCTTCTTATATTCGATTCTCCCACGGAACAACTTCATTTAAAAGCCAATACACTATGACAAATTTGATGTCATGTATGTGAGAATTCATTCTTTTTTCTTCTGTCTAACTTTAGAAAAGGAGGTAGCTATCGTTTTGTAAAAACAATAATCATATATAAAAACAACTAGGTGGCTGGCCCGCGCCCTACGCAGGCTGATGCTCTTCAAAAGTTTTTTTAGTTTTGAATATAATACCCAAACCACATTTTGAACAGTTTTTTGTGTTTTAAATTTAATATTCGAACCATATTTCGAAAGTTTGTTGAGTTTAAAATGTAATATTCAAACCATAATTGGAAGCTTATAAATTGATTTGTATAATGTTTAATATATATACTTAAAAAAGCATATTATAACAACTGATCATTTACTAATTTTTTAATTCAAACAAACAGAGCTATTCAAAACATTATCATAGTCAACACTAATTCATAATATAAGAAGATCCAAAAGATAAATCAGTTAAATATAACAAAATTTAAAAGATAAAACAGTTTAAAAATACCAATGACCACCAAAATATTATAACTAATATCCAATGTAATCTAAACATACTTTTAGTAGCAAACAAAACAACCTATTCAAACCAACCGTGAATTTCTATAAATGTTTTCAAACACGTCTTTGTAAACAACATTCATTGTCTTCTTTTGTGCTTTGCCATTCTTATCTGTAATAAGAATCTTCAACCCTTGGCGTGATGTAACTCTAGACACGGCGACATAAAGTTGACCATGCGAGAACACTGGCTTTGGCAAATATAATCCCACCTTTTGTAGAGTCTGACCCTGACTTTTGTTTATAGTCATAGCAAAAGCTATGGTAATAGGAAACTGCCTCCGGCACATTCTAAAAGGAAACCTTGCTTCTGGTGGTGACACAAACATTCTAGGTATGATAACCTTTTTTCCTATTTTCTTCCTGGTTATATGGCTTGCCTCGATTACATGCCTAGCTAATCGAGTAATAAGCAACCTCGTACCATTACACAAACCACCTTTAGGATCAATATTTCGAAACAACATTATTGAAGCTCCTATCTTTAACTTGAGAGAATGATTTGGCAGACCTGATACCTTTATACTATTAAGATACTCCTATGTATAGACGACTTCGTCTATTTTGCTTGTTTCTGAAGTATCAATGCTATCGGCACTAAGGTATTCATGTTTCTCACCTAATAAAAACATTTCAAACTATGTTAGTACTGATATATTTTAATTATAATTGATCTGCTCAAAGTTTAATCCCTAAGCTACTCTACAAGAGCACAGATGTGCAATTGTAGTATCTAGGGGTCGAACCACAGAGACAAGAGATCACTCAATAAACCTTGTAGAGATAGAGTTACGCTAAGCAGAAATATAGGAAGTAAATAGCAATGCGACAGAAACAAATTAAGCAACAGTGAAACGGTTTGTAAATTCGATTGGATAAGGATTAGGTCTAGGGCGTTTTCAGGAGATCAATGAATGCAGATCAACTTAACTAATCAGGGTTCAGTTATTAAGCTCGGTTCTTGAACTCGAAACACTGAATTATAATTAACCAACTTCCGTTGTGAGAATTATCTAAGTTAAAATCCTAGAATCCCAAATTCCTTTGCAAATCCTACAGAATTAAACCAGCCTTAATGCACAAGCTCGATATGTTCACAAAGTATTTAAACCAAATTCCTTTGCGAATAGTTACTTTGCTCAACCTAGGTTCTTTCCAGTTATTCAATTACACTTCTGTGTCAATTAAGCAACCTAAGATCTAAGTTTTAGGTGACCAGTCCAGAATTAGCTTTAAGAACAACCTAAGATGAAGAACTAATAGATATGAACCCTAACTAGCAAGTTAATTAAACATTCAAAGAAAACCCTAATTAACCCTAAACCTAACAGGTGATCTACTCAGACATGGTTATTGAAACAACAAACATGATGAATAGAAAGCAATAGATTAAATCGAAATAGATAAAGGGGTTCAAAATCTTCTCTCTAAACAAACAGAGTTCAGACTTGTCTCCCCAAGCTCAGAAATCGCAAAAGCCGAAAACTCAGAGTATCTCTCTCTCAAAAATCTAAGGTAATCGTAAAAAGGAAATAAAAATCCTATATATATCTCTAAGACACGTCTTGGGCTTCCTTGAAAACGTTTGGGCCCAACTCCTTCTTCAAACAGGAAACAAAATCGCCTTTTCCTTATTTCTTTGACAAGTGTCGAGCGTCACTCTCCATGGTGTCAAGCGACACTAAGGCACAAAATCCATTCTTGACGAATTTGATCATGATTAAGCTCCAAAGTGCTCCAAAGTCTCCAGTTAAGCTCCAAACGTACCTATGACCTGTAAAGACTCCAAAAGACTCGAAAGATACTAAAAAGACTCTATAAATAAGACTTATACCATGATTAAAAACCATAAAAACCATGATATATCAACTCCCCCAGACTTAGCATTTGCTTGCCCTCAAGCAAACAGAACACCAAATAAGAGAAAGAGGTTTGAAAACACGGAGACTCAACCTTTCATTGGAACATCGCTTTAACTGATCACCCTGCAACTGAACTACCGCTTCATCATTCCAAATCGAACCACCATGTACTTCTCCGCAGACACAGCTTTCCAGATTAAGTCCAAAATTCCACAATATTGTCCATAAACCCTCATCGCTGGATCTCACTGATGATTCAGATGCCAAGAACCTTCTAGATTCTTTCCCGTACTATACTCAAACAAATCAGCCATACAAACTTTGGTATTTTTCTCTCCCCCAGACTTGTTCTTTTTGCACATTCATCATCTTTTTATTTTCTCCTTTTTTATGGCATATACTCGATAAGGGTGAAGCTGCGAGTACTGATGGTGTTTGCCATCGAGTCCCCGAGTTGTCCCCTTATCTTGTATCAAAGGTTTTCAGCGAATAATGAGGTCATGGGAAACTTCCCTACCCCTCACTTCCTTCCTTTGTGTGATCATTCCAACTTAGAAGTGAAATAATGGGATCATTGGAAACATTCCTAGCCCTTCACTCCTAAGCAAAAATCATCTCAATCTTTTCGCCTTTTTTTTTCTTTCTTTTTCTTCTTCTTAGCTCGTCACAGGGAGAGAAACACCAACATTAAATTTCGCACAGGCTTTTATTGATCAAGTACGAACGAGGAATCAAGCTCTAAGGCATTAGTCACATCAACGAGTTAAAAGTGAAGTTCAGAACTTAGCTCAGGTTAGTGGATTCTGTTGGAAACATGGACGCCTCTAGTCAGCTGGTCAGCCTTTGGATTCTTCATTAGTCGGATCTAGACTGAATCTGCAGCAGTGGTCACTTAGGTGAAAGGTCAGCACAATAATTCCAGGAAAAGCATCATAATCTCCAACAGGTTTTGACTCAAAAACGTTTTGACAAAACTGACTCTTAAGAAAAACAGACACAATGTCAGCAACTATCTCCCCCTGACTTGAATAACACTGTCCCCAGTGTTATCGAGTCCGAAGTTGGCGAAACAAAAGAAAAGAAACAGAGAAACACAGGAAAAAACGGAGAACTTACCTGGCTGCAATGATGGTGTCGCGCGACACTGATGATGGTGTCGTGCGACACTTGTTCTCTTCGTACCAAATTGCAGCAGACCAATCCGAATTTCTGGTTTGACTCCAGTTATCTGATTTCCTAATTTTTTTTTTTTTTTTTTTTGGAATAGCAAGTGACAGGCGACACCGAAGGTGGTGTCGCTCGACACCAGCCTCTGTTTCACCTAAGACACATAAAGAAAAACGAAAATCAACTGAAACAAAAAGACTTATGTACAGACTCACCAGTGGATTGCCTTCCACCAAGCGCTTATTTAAGTCATTAGCTTGACTATGGATAGACTATGCATCTGGTGGATCAGGCAGTGGCAAAGAGTGCCTCTGTGAAATTCGTCTCATCCATGGTAGTGTGTAAGCGTTGTGCGCATGAGGTCGTCCAAGGAATACAGGAATAGCACCAGGGTGAGATCTGTGTTTGGGTGGCTTCAACCTATTCCCTGCAATATCATCAATAGAAAAACCAAGTGTTCTACGATAATCTCGTAGCTTGCGTCGAGAGACCGAATCTGCATCTTTCAAATCAGTTTTGATGATATCGCAAGAATTAGGATTAGGCTCAAGAAGTGCGTACCTTTGCTTTGGTGGAGATGGATGGAGTGCAATGTTTGGAGCTTCCTGATCAACAGCAGTCACTGGTTCTGTAGACGTTTTCGTCAACTCAGGTTGATCTCTCACCTTCTCAACATCAAACACGTTCTGATCTCCAACTATCACTTCAGGTATTGCACTGATTTGGAATGTCTGACCATCTATGGTGGGATCCTTCAGCTTTTCCATCTTGAAAGTCATGATGGTATCTCCCAGGTGGAGATCAAGGTTACCATGCTTGACATCAATTACTGCTCCAGCTGTAGCTAAAAACGATCTTCCCAGGATAAGAGGATCTTTGGGTTCCTCTCCATATTCCAGAACCACGAAATCTGTAGGAATTATGCAATCACCAACTTTAATCGGAACATCTTCCAAGACACCTTTTGGGATTCTTTTAGATCGATCTGCTAGGATTAGAGAGATCTTAGTTGGCTTGAAGTCAGTCATCCCAAGGCTAACAGCTACAGAGTTAGAGTGTATTTGATGCAGAGGATAAGGAAACAGCTTGCAGAGGAGGAAATCATTGGACATTCCATTGTATTTGATGCTGGTTACCAAGTCCTCAAACCTCTCGATGTGATCCATAGGGTGCTCATGAGAGTGGCCATGGAAAGGATGCTGACCCACAAGAGTGTAGTACACAAGCTTCAGCTCAAAATCGTTTCTTTGAAACGCAGGGGCGCGAATCTTAGAACGATTTGCATAGAACTTCTCAGGCCTGTTGTAATCTCCAAGTGTTTGTCCACGACCACCTGCAGGTGCAGGTTCCCTCACATTCCGATCCTCTGGAACGGTCCTCTGATGTGGAACGATCACAGCATTCCCACGCGGTGCAGGTGGTGGATTCTGGTCAACAACATCCACTGGTAAAGGTGCTGGTGGAATGATGTTGCCATCTCCATCAAGCCTTTGGCCTCTCGCATTGCACACATGACCCTCTTGGTCTCTCCAGATTCCATCATCATCACGAACAAGTCCATTGGCGTTTTCCATCATTGCCGGATCCTTTGCTTTCCTGTTCGTTCGCTCTAACTCAGCTAGCTACTCGTTGCTCAATTTCACTAGCGGGATATCCTTGTTGCTTCTGGTTCCACGAGTATGCATAAACCTGAAACACCAAAAACAAAGAGAGAAAACGAAATAAGTAAATTAGGTTATAAAAAGAAAGGTGTCGCGCGACACCACAAGTGGTGGCGCTCGACACTAGGTCGGAAAACTTAGTCGAAACTCAAAAACTAGGTTTAATGGCGAAATCAAGTCCCCGGCAACGGCGCCAAAACTTGATCTGCTCAAAGTTTAATCCCTAAGCTACTCTGCAAGAGCACATATGTGCAGTTGTAGTATCTAGGGGTCGAACCACAGAGACAAGAGATCACTCAATAAACCTTGTAGAGATAGAGTTACGCTAAGCAGAAATATAGGAAGTAAATAGCAATGCGACAGAAGCAAACTAAGCAACAGTGAAACGGTTTGTAAATTCGATTGGATAAGGATTAGGTCTAGGGCGTTTTCAGGAGATCAATGAATGCAGATCAACTTAACTAATCAGGGTTCAGTTATTAAGCTCGGTTCTTGAACTTGAAACACATAATTATAATTAACCAACTTCCGTTGTGAGAATTATCTAAGTTAAAATCCTAGAATCCCAAATTCCTTTGCAAATCCTACAGAATTAAACCAGCCTTAATGCACAATATTGATATGTTCACAAAGTATCTAAACCAAATTCTTTTGCGAATAGTTACTTTGCTCAACCTAGGTTCTTTCCAGTTATTCAATTAAACTTCCGTGTCAATTAAGCAACCTAAGAGCATGAACATTGAAGGCCCTTAAGAATTTTGGGGTGGGTAGCTAAAGAATATTATTGAATAAAATAATGAAAGTGAAGCCCATAAAAAGAAGGGTCGGCCCTTCTCCAAGGTTTTTATGGGTCGACCCATGTTGAAACCCTTTAGCGACGTGTCGCATTTCTATTGGGGGTAGAATTTTTTTTTTAAAAAAAATATTAATTTTTTTTAAAAAATTAAAAAAATTAAAAATTAAACACTTGATAGAAAAAAATTAAAAATTAAGTTAATAAATTTTTTAAAAAAATATATTAATACTAAGCAACTCTTACCCAATCCACTAATAAAACACTTGATGATAAAAGTTGCTTAATTATCCTTAAAGTAAAAAAAAAGTATTATATTAATGTTAAGCAACTTTCTCTAAACCCCTCTAATGCACATGCTCTAAGATCTAAGTTCTAGGTGATCAGTCCAGAATTAGCTTTAAGAACAACCTAAGATGAAGAACTAATAGATATGAACCCTAACTAGCAAGTTAATTAAACATTCAAAGAAAACCCTAATTAACCCTAAACCTAACAGGTGATCTACTCAGACATGGTTATTGAAACAACAAACATGATGAATAGAAAGCAATAGATTAAATCGAAATAGATAAAGGGGTTCAAAATCTTCTCTCTAAACGAACATAGTTCAGACTTGTCTTCCGAAGCTCAGAAATCGCAAAAGCCAAAAACTCAGAATATCTCTCTCTCAAAAATCTAAGGTAATCGTAAAAAGGGAATAAAAATCCTATATATATCTCTAAGACACGTCTTGGGCTTCCTTGAAAACGTTTGGGCCCAACTCCTTCTTCAAATAGGAAACAAATTGCCTTTTCCTTATTTCTCTGACAAGTGTCGAGCGTCACTCTCCATGGTGTCGAGCGACACTAAGGCACAAAATCCATTCTTGACGAATTTGATCCTGATTAAGCTCCAAAATGCTCCAAAGTCTCCAGTTAAGCTCCAAACGTACCTATGACCTGTAAAGACTCCAAAAGACTCGAAAGACACTATAAAGACTCTATAAATAAGACTTATACCATGGTTAAAAACCATAAAAACCATGATATATCAATAATATAAATACATATTAAAAGGAATTGTGATAAATCATATAACGAAGACCTTTGAGTTCTGATAGCATGAATTCATTGATAACGTCGACATCCTGATTCCGTGGACTGAGTATTGCCCTTTCCTGAAAAAAACTGGTTCACGAGTGGTTGTGTAAGATTGACCATAAATCTCTGAGACTATTCTCTTAACAGGATCACCTTCTCCGCTTATCAGCAAATCCGCTGGAATTTCTAATTCATCTTCTATGGTATCATGAATATTTAGTTTTCCATCACCAATATCCAAGATCCACTTGGCGAATTCTTCAATTTCTTGATTATTGAAATCATTATCGCCACGAAGCAGTCTCATATTTGTCTTTAGCTGCAGAACTTTGCAATCAGACCAAATATGAGAAGAATTCACAGTTGCCAATATAGTCTCTGAGCTATTGCCTCCGACAATAACAGGGATATTTGTCGAAAGTCACCACCCAAAACAACGACCTTTCCACCAAAGACCTTATCACACTTTAGTATATCACGCATAGTCCGATCCAATGTCTCAAAACAATGCTTGCTCATCATCGGAGCCTCATCCCATATAATACAATCGGCTGCTTCAATCAGCTCTGATTGGTGTGATCCAGAACTCACATTACAGAATGTATACTCGTTCACAACTATGGGTATTCCAAACCGAGAATGCGCTGTTCTTCCTCCCTCTAATAACAATGCTGCAATGCCACTTGATGCAACATTGAGAACTATTTTTCCTTGAGAACGAAGAGCAGCGCTTAAAAGCCTCCATAGGTACGTTTTACCTGTCCCACCATATCCATAAACAAAAAACATTCCACCGATACCTCTTGTAACTGCATCCATTATCTCATTGTAGATATCCTTATGTTCATTGGTTATTGTTTAAAACAACTTGACATGATCGTCTGCAAGTTTTGCACGATCGTATGATTTCTCATCCCGGATTAGATGATTTGATTTCTTATACTTTCCAATATCATCAGGGACTGGCATCTCTCCTTTATAATCGGATAATGAATGACCGTTTCTGCGCATATACTTCTCTATATCTGACAAACCAAGATTCTTATATTGGGCTTCAGTCAACACCAAACCTAGATATACAAATAAGTCTGTTAGCAACTAAGATAATGTGAATCTTGTAAAATAGTTTAAAATTTCAAGTCCATCTTACCTCAGTCATTCTCTTCACGCCTTTTCTGATATAAGAAATCCTCAGTTAATATTTTCCAAGTAGCATTCCAGACGTTGATCGGAACTGCTACACTACTCGAAAGAAGCATTATAGCAAAATGTTTACGAAGAAACTTTCCAGTTCCCCAAAAACTGACCTCTTTAATTCCTTCGATGTATTCTTTATCATCGTCTAACAAACCAAGCGCAAAGCATGCTTCTCGGAAAGAAGAGTATATAACACCATTAACCTTTTTTAAGTCATCAAAACTCTCAGGGCCCTTGACTATATTGAGAAGAATCCTCAAATGATATGCGTCTTCAGCGGAAGGTGAGACATACACCAGTCTGCCTATGGCAAAACCTTGTTTTTCGTATTCTCCATTGCCGCTGCTTTGAGACCCAGACGAATTTTGTTGGGAAATCAGCATATGTTAGCTCCTTTTCCAAGGCATATTCCTTGTTTGCCTCCATCCACGCTAGAAATTGTTACTGACCTACCGATGCCTTGTTTAAGACTTGGTCAACGCTCTCTCCTTCGTGATATATACACATTTGTTTACCAGGCAAATGAAACGAAAGTTGCATTACTGCCGTGGTTCGGTACTGTGTAGGAATCTTTAGAAGCCTCCATGAAGATTCATACGGTGAAATGTATCTAAGAATGAGCAAATCAAACAGAAATAAATAATCTTGTTTTTTTAAATCATACTTAAGTAATTATTCAAGCGATCTAATCTTAAAAATTAGTTTCGCAAAGTTACCTGCAATTGTAATGTTGCTAAACCTCATCTTGGGATATAACGGGGTTACCGTTCACCTTATGCTGGTCACTTTGCCACTTTTAAAACAGTGTCAAAGATTCTGCAGGCTGGGTATTGGTGGCCTACTATGTTCCGAGATGCGCAGAGATTCATATCCAGGTGTGACACATGTCAGAGACAAGGAAACATTAGCAGGAGGAATGAGATGCCTCAGAATTTCATCTTGGAAGTGGAGATTTTTGATGTGTGGGGTATAGACTTCATGGGAACTTTTACATCATCTTATGGGAATGAGTATATTCTGGTGGCAGTTGACTATGTGTCAAAGTGGGTGGAAGCTCTGGCTAGTCCCACAAATGACGCAAAGGTGGTTTTAAAGATGTTCAAATCTGTCATTTTTCCCAGGTTTGGTGTGCCGCGAATGGTGATTAGCGATGGAGGCTCTCACTTCATCAACAAAATCTTTGAAAACTTGTTGAAGAAGAATGGTGTAAGGCATAAGGTGGCGACCCCATACCATCCTCAGACGAGTGGGCAAGTTGAGGTTTCCAACAGGGAAATCAAGAACATTCTGCAGAA